TGAAATTTTCACCAGAGGTGCGTCTCAGCCCCAGGATGAACCCATTACATTTTGGTGGTGATCCGGATCGCCTTCTGGATCCAGGAATTTTTTGAAGGATTCTTTATCATTGTGAGATAGGGCAAATTTTGGAATTTTTGCACTTAACTCTCTAAAAATGACCAGAGTCTTTAGTAAAAAATGACACAAAAGGATCTCAATGAGTTTTATGAGGTGTCAAAGGTTGATCCTGATCCAGACAAAATTCCGGATACTGTGATCCAGAACACACAAAAATAAGGGTGTCGTTGGAATTTTCAATGCTGAAAGATAACCAATGGGCGGCACAGTGGTGTAGATGGGCGGCACAGTGGTTTAGTGGTTAGCACTGTCGCCTCACAGCAAGAAGGTCCTGGGTTCGAATCTGGGTCAGGGCATTTCTTGTTTTAGGAACATTATGAACAGTGAACATACCAGTTTAAACACAAATAAACGTTAATAAAAGACACGTAACAGTATAAGTTTTGGTGTGAATCACAATATAAGGGGGGACATGAGCTGCTTGGTGGAGGTCTGCGCTCTCCGAGTGCTTTTCTAGTTTGAACTTATTTTGTTTATTAAAATACAGTGTTAGGTTTTACAGTGTAATAATATTTTTATCAGTCCTAAGCTTGGCGCATAGGTCTTGTTTTTGTTTCTTTAGCACGAGTTCCTTTAAATTTAGTTTCCTGAATTAGCATCAAAGTAAACCTGTGACAATTCTAAGCAGCCTTTTGTGTGGAAAATACCTAATAGGAAAGATTATTCACCCTCAACATGCACAGCCTTAATTTATTTGAGGCAAATGTGAGTGCCAAACAGACATATTGGATTATGACTTTATACAAGTTAATTGTACTCTTGATCCTCTGAGCACTACAAACTTAAATGCTAATTCTGAAGTTGTTAACCCAATATTTTGTTTTTTAAATAGGATATTTATCTTGCACTTCCTTTTCTCTTTATCAATTGGATGAGTCTGATGACCTCCACAAAGGTGACCAGTGTCGTTCAGCAGACCAGGAAAGAAAAGAAATGTGGAGGAGGATGGATAATAGCCCAGCTGGTCGCTTTTGCTGCAATTAGCCCATCTGAAGTCCCACAATTATGCAGGCAATGGCTGACACTCACAATGCCACAACGCCGCCGCTGAATCAATACATAATTGTGATAATTATCATCCTGGTGTCATTTGGTGGATACATCCAACACTTCCAGAAAAGGAGATAGAATTGGATAAACACAGAGAGGTGAATGGCAGACAAATATCGCCTCTTCAAGTGCAACATTTCTCACAAAAGATAACCTCACGACCTCACGTGGACAGTGTTGGGGGTTGACTCAGTAATGAGGATGAGTCAGCCTGAACACACACCTGGAAAGGTCTCTGCAACCCCTCTGCAGCTCAACTCTGCAGCCAAAAGTCTTGAAGAACAGGGTGCTCATAACTCATGATGTCTTAACATGGACAAATTTTAAATCTTTATTCGCTACCTTCTTGTAGCGCAACTTTTTTCCCCCATCTTTTTTATTTCATACTTGTCACACTGAGACACCAACTGAGCCAAATCAGAACTGGTGGATGAGTTCTCCCCTGCAGGGTTATCACTTTAGTTTGGACATTTTCCTACCCTGAGGTTTGAGCAACTGAAACATGAGCTCAATAACAGCCAAGCCCAACACATAAAAAGATTTTTTCCCCCATTTTTGCCATCTAATTCTACACACCACAGCTATACATCAAAGTCCTGTTCATACCTGCACCAACCTTCAGAGAAGTTGTTGACATTTCAGGGTTGGTTGTATGTGTGGCCACAAAAAGACACAGCAGGCAACTTGTGTGAGGACTACACAATCTCTGAGCAAGTAATGAAGCTACATCAAACTCTTGCTGGCATTTTCTTTTCATTCTCGTGTTGAGGAGTTTTCAGTTTGAGTGTAGACCATAGACTGTATATACTATGGACAACTTAGTTCCGCCTCCCGCATGTATACGGATTTGAAGCCAAAAAGCTCTCGGTAATTCCGGGTTTTTCTCCACTTCCTTGAAACCAGCTGCGCAGTAGCGATGCGCGCATTCGGCTGCACTGTCGCCGAGAGTCCCTGTGATGACGCGCGGCTCAAACAGTGTATCCCCTGGGTGAGCTACGCAATCCCTGAACGCCCATAGGCTGTATCAGGTGTCAATCATAGAAAACATGAACCCCCTAATAACTTTTAAAAACTGAGCTTTACAGAAAAAAGAGGACTTGAGCACAAACCAGTCTTACTGTAACTACATGTCAACATCATAACCAGGGGGGAGAAAAAATTATGTTCTGTGTAATAAATTTCTAAAGTTTGTCCACAGCTCCATAAGCTTTGCTGGCGGAGGCGGAATTTGTGACCTATACTGCAGCCCATCAACAGAGGGTGCTGTTCTCGAAGTGGCTTCACCCAGTGAGGAGGCAGACTCTGTCCATTCTATATACAGTCTATGGTGTAGACCAAGACAAATATAATAGAATTGGACAATGTTGACATCTAACCTGGTCTCCTGAGAGGAAGATTTTTAAAACAGATACTCCAAGGAATAGGAGAAAGCTGAGAGTTTAACCGGATCAAAAGAATGAATAAGGTATATCATAGCTCCAATCTGCTTCATTTTTAGTACAATTCCTTAAAGAGAAAATAAACATTTATCAATTCAGGTTTTGTTCCTTAATTATTAAAGATAAATTTTGGAATCCAGAATATATTCTCTGTGGTGCAGCATACAGCTAAAGATGCTTGGGCAAGACACTTAATCCACCTTGCTCACAGAGTGTGTCCTCCACTGGTGTACGAATGTGAGTGTTGTGTGGTGGTGCAGGCACAAACTGGCAGCCACGTTTCCGTCAGTCTGCCCTAGGTCAGCTGTGACTACTAAGGTAGTTTACCACCACCAGAGTGTGACTATGTGAGCGAATGAATGATGTATCCAATGTAAAGCGCTTTGAGGGTCTCTGATAAAGCAATTTAAGAAATCTGATGTATTATTATGATTACTATTATATATAGGTATCCAACAAATATACTGCATATAAAATTATGTTCCAAGGCCACACAAGCATGCATGTCATGTCTACATCACATAACATCTAAAAAAATTCTAGTTTAGCACACACAACTGTGAGAAAAACCAACACATCTAAAGAAAATATCATAAACATAAGAACAAAAATAAAGACATTGACATTAAGATCTTAGTATCGTTCCATGTGTAGATATATAATGCACAACCATGTAAATGGGTGCAGTCCATGTGTACTGTTTTTATTACTCCATTATGTTGTTACTTGATTTTGATTATACACTTGCTGAAGGATGTGTATATCTCATTTAGATTTTTCTTTGAAGAGGTAATAAAAATAAAGGGGTCACTCAATTCTCTTTTAATAATTCTCTTAGCATTTTTAAAAGGACCTGCTACAGGCCATGGTCTCTGTAAAGTGGGCTAACACAGCATGATGGACATTTGGAGGGAGGACATGTACCCACATCAGTGCATCCCAGTACTACAGCCTGCTGCACCACTGCTCTTTGTCAGACACACAAAATCTGGTTGAACCTCAATAAATCTGACCTGCTGCAGATCATCAAATCTCCTGTGGTTTCGTAAACAGTTTTTGCCTTGAACTAACTTAGTAAAGATTCCAGATTTAGTACAGTAAAAACAAATTTAATAGTGCTGTGTTTTAGACTCGTGCCTTTAATTGTTTTCTTTGATCTGTAATGGCACATGTGTCCTAAGAGCCTTTGCCATTTGTGTGGCAAAAAAAGAACCTTCTACACTTTCTTTTTATTTATCATCTCCATCAACAAGAAGAGTCCTCTGTAGGATTTCTCAATACTTTTAAATTGATCTGCCGGGAAGGCATGGACTAAACAAACCATAAAATTGATAATTGTTCCTGTCTTTGAATAAATGTCAAGCTGCTGTTTTGTTCAGTCTTTTATGTAATACCACTTTCAAGAAAGGTCAAAATGATTAAAAAAAACCCCTCAAATTCTCTGATGATGTACCAATTTCTTCAGGTCTCATGCAGAAAATAGACTAAATGTCTCTTTGCTTCATGTTTCTTTTTACATGCTTACGCCATTCCCCAGTAAAGGACAGATACACTGCCTGGGGCCACATCAGTGCTCTTTAGCATTTACAGCCTGTGTGCACAGGTTGGGGAAAGAGTTGCACTGGAGCCCATTTGCCTTTTCTGCACCACTGCGGGGTTGATACTGTGGCAGCATGTGGCCAGAGGTCTACTGATAATCCTTTTAGCTCTCCTTGCCTGTGGGCACTGTACATCACTCTACAATCATGTTAACCACCAAAGTCTAAAGACAAAAGCAAATTCACTTGATGTGTTTGCTGGTGAGTTTAGAAACAGACAGCCTAACCCAAAAAGGAAACAATATGTTGTTCTTTCACTCCTTGTTGTGTGTGCCTTTCCAGCCGGACAATCAAATCTAATTAATGGAGAGCTGTGGGGATTCAATTGTGCTGATAAAGTGACTTAATTTTCCACTTTTCTGTGGTCTAACCTTTATGGAAAGCCCTGGGGTACAAACTTAAATTTAACACCAAAGATGACTACACGGTAAGAAGCTGCTGGTTAGAAACCAACCACCCTTCTATGCTTAAATTAATCTTAATAAATTAACAGAAATTAAATACTAAAAATGTAAATTGATTCATTATTGTCCAACATCTAACAGTTATGATAACTCTTCCTTATTTCTAAACTGTTAACAATAATACCAATTGAAATTGGTAAGAGATACTTTAAATTCAACAGGCTTTACTAAAGGTCAAATAGCCTATTCTAACTTAGAGACGGCTCCAAACTGGGATGCGTCTGGCTGGCTGATCCTGCGCATTGATTGATCAGAACAAAATTACCATGTTTGACGTCAGAAACTGCAAACAAATTACCCCATAAAAAGGTGGGACCTGTCTGAAAAAAGAAAGCTCCGGGCGCACTCCACCAAAGCGCTGTCTCCTCACTCTTAGCAAACACTAAGCCCTCTGCGCGTAAAGATGCCGCTTTCTAGCAGCTCCACGTCCTCCACGAAGAGCATCCGCAGAGCTGCATCCGAGCTCGAAAGGTCTGACTCCATCCAGGTAAGAAAGTTAGGTCTATTTTTGTCAAATGTCTTTATCGTGTTCAGGGAAACAAACGAGGGCACATCGCGCGTAATGCTTGGGCACGGGACAATTACGCAGCAGTTGATGCACACCAGATCACAGCAATATCTAAAGTAAAGATAGCAAACCACATTTTATATCAGCTTTATTATGTACCGTGGCAGCTACTTAGTCTTAGCTATGTCGTAGGTTTACCTCGACTGCGTAGGTGTTCTAATGCGCATTTGGAGATGTAAAGCGCTGGCATCAAATATCCAAAGAGATGACCAGAAGGTAAGAAAATTTGGTGTCATCTTTCTCTGATGCTATGCCCACGTGTCCTGGCAGCTTTAGAAACAAATGCAATCCACTAACTGCGATGTCTCTTTCGGTACAGTCTCAAAGATTCCTCGGCAGGCGGCAGAGCTTAATCGAAGACGCGCGCAAAGAGAGGGAAGCCGCCGCTGCAGCGGCAGAGGCGGCGGAGGCAAGTGAGCAGATTGTGTTCGAGGAGGACGATGGCAAAGCGCTGCTCAACATCTTCTTCTTTTTAAGAAACTCAAAGACACCAGCTCTGTCGCGGACTCTCAAAGTTTTTGAGGTGAGGCAGTATTTGTCATTTTATATGTGGAACTCTGTATTTGAGAACAACAGCATAAGTTGAGACGAAAAAGTGAGATCTAGTTGAGGCTTTGTGTTTTCAAAAGTTCTCAAGTGTTTTTTTATTATTAATATTATTATTATTTGTGGTTAAATTGATGGTTGCACCATGACAATATTTGAATGAAATTAGATCTTTCAGGGGTTGATGTCACTGTTAGGAATTATGTCTTTTAACCTGTGCGTAATGTGCTCACAGATGTACTGTGATGAATAACTGTACTCTTAATTTACTTCTTCCATGATAATTCATAAATTCTCCAGTGACGAATGCTCAAGATTTACACAGAGATGACAAGAGTCCTCCAAAAAAAATAAAATAAAATAAACAGAGTTTTATAAAATAAGCCTGCTTGGATGCTCATAAAAACACATTACAATGGGAATTTTATCTGCTTGGCGTTATCTTCAATGACAGAAAACAACTCTTAAGTGATCCAGTCACTTTTAATTGACTGATCTGTCAGAATAAAAAAACTGAAGGACATAGCCTCTTTGATAGGGCACTGTCAATATTGAAAGGCAAAAAGAAAATGATAAAACAACATTTGTATTTTAACCTATGGTTTTAAAGGACTGTGAGCATGTTTTATTCTAAATAGATGGCTTAAAATAATGTGCATTTTTAATAACTCTGAAATGTAATTTGGAGGAGAAAACGGTTCCTTGTGTTAAATAAATGTTAAAGGGACTTTTCTTTTAAAGATCAAATACTGAGCGTTGAGCTTCCCTCCTGCGCTTTGTCACCCTTCAGTGTTTGCCAATACTGCTGAAGCCACATTCAAGTGTTTGCTGACTGTATTTCAGACATTTGAAGCCAAAATCCATCATTTGGAGACACGACCACGCCGGAAGCTCAAGGATAACCTGGAAGGTCTGGAGTACTTTGTCCGCTGTGAGGTTCATATCTCAGACGTCAGCACTCTTGTCAGCTCCATCAAGAGGAACGCAGAGGATGTGAAAACCTCCAAAGAAGTCAAATGTAATGCCCTTTACCTCTTCAATTTTTTTTTAACATTGTCAATAGCCTTTGCAGGACTGATGCCAATTTACTTCTTTGTCTTTTCAGTTCACTGGTTCCCAAAGAAAATAGCAGACTTGGACAAATGTCATCATCTGGTTACAAAATTTGATCCAGACCTGGATCAAGACCATCCTGTGAGTATCAACTTTTAAGCATCAATAGAAGCGGAAACAGTTCTTAGTGCCATGTTGTTTGAACTATAAATCAAGACAGAGAAAACATAATCAGAGTGTCAAACCTTACATTGAACAGGGCTTCACAGACCCTGTTTACAGACAGAGGAGGAAAATGATTGGAGACATCGCCTTCAGATACAGACAGTGAGATATACTCTTTTTTTATGAATTCTACTCACAACCACATCCCCTTTAAAAGCAGACAACTCGATTATTCCTGATACATCTGTAAATCTGTCTGTTCTCAGTGGGGAGTCGATCCCAAGGGTGGAGTACACAGAGGAGGAGATCGGGACATGGTAAGAACAGCTGCATACATATTCAAAATGTTGTTTAATATCAATGAGCTTTTCTAAGCTAAAACAAAACGTACTCAGGATGAAAACTCTCAAATGGTAACCTCTTAAACGTCCTGAAGGGAACTTTAACTAGATTTGAAAAAATCTCTCATTTCTGCTGATGTCTCCCTGTCACCTGCAATGGTGACTGAGCCTATCTGTGAGAAGATAAGCTATTTCTAAACGGGGATAATGGGAAATCACTGGTCGGGTCAGGACCATGAACGAAATGATTTGCAGCACTCAGACCAGAGACGACACATGCATTTTTTCTTTTTATTTTGCACCGAAAATGTGCATATTACTGTCACTACACAAACAGTGACAACCCCTTGAAGCAGGAGACTCCTGCAGACACTGTGTCATGCTACAGCTGCAACCATGGAGTGAGAAGCTCCTCCACACTGGAGACAGACAGGCAGAGCAGCTCTGTGTCACTAACCTCAGTAGTCCTGCTGCTTCACGTCTGTCTCACACTCCCAGACTCGCCTCCCATTTTGAAAACATTTTCTGGAGCCCTGACTTGAGAGCCAGATAATTGTTTTACAATACTCGCTAAAACACTACCGCTTTTGTCCATAGTGGCCGCCAAAATCGACAGAAAATGAAAACTCTCTTCAGCTGCTTTAAATTTCAAGAGCATCTTTGTGCATGTTTACTGACTAATGCCTGAGTTTCATGTTGCTCCAACAGTGGTGTATTTGGTGTTTTTGTTTGGTAAATTTCTTACCGATCCAGATGTCACACCTTTTTTTCTGAGCACAATTTGTCAGTAGGCAACAAATCCCTGACATGAAAACTCAGTCAGTCATTTTCACACAAAAGAAAAGTAATCAGCCAGTATCAAATACTAAGCATATTTTGTATTATTATTAATCTATAAGTTATTATTATTATTATTATTATTATTGTTATTATTATTATTATGTTCTTTTTTTTTTGGGGGGGGGGGGGGGGGGGGGCAATTTTTAACAGAGAAAGTAAAGTCATGAGGCCTGGGACTGACCAGGCAGAAGGGGTCAGGTTCTCATACACAGGCAGGCACAGGTGGTTGCACAGCTACAAGAGATAATGGCGATTTATTTGGTTTCGGAGGTGTGGGTCTGTCCCTAAATGTACATGACAGGAACTTCATTTAAAACCAAAGCTCTTTGAGAAATGAAAACTCCGACCTAAATCAGCATGATAACATCCAATTGCTTTGACAGGCGGGGCGTGTGAGAAATGTTTTACTGCTGTCAGGCAGAAACCTCTTATCTTCAAAATCTCAACATTTTTAAACCCCCTGTGTTTTTCAAATGACTAAACATGCCATGGAATTCAACCGCAGGCTTTTTAAATACTTTTAATTGGAGATCCAGTCAGCTAACGCTCAGATGTAAATGTTGACTGATGTACAAAAAAATAAAATAGTGAAATATGGAGATACAAGGATTCTGCCCAACAGTTTTGATTTATTAGTTGTGTGTTTTGATTTTCTAGTTTCTTCTAAAAATACTGGCTTCACTGCTGGTAGCTGTGGGTTTGTTCATATTTCCATACAGTCCCTTAAGGCACACATAAATACCCTTTTAACTTGTTCTGTACCTACTCTTTGTTGTACCTCTTGTTCATAAAACTAAATTAAAGTGTAAATCACTCTGTTGAAAACCCTGTGAAGATTTTTAGATAGTTATAGAAATCTCTCTGATCTTCATGAGCAAACAAGACCAACTATATGAAACCACTGGTAGGTGGTAGGTGCTCATATTGATTGACTGTATGCTGCTGAAACATCTATTTTACCTTTACATTTGACATTATTTACTTTTAGCTTTTAACTGAACTAAGAGGAACAGCAGAAAGATTTCACACTATAAAAAAAATAAAACAATTACTTTATCTCTCTTATTTCTTACTAGGAGGGAAGTTTACTCCACCCTGAGGGACTTGTACATCACTCATGCCTGTAATGAATATCTAGAGGCCTTCCGTCTGCTGGAAAGGCATTGCGGGTACAGTCCAGATAACATCCCTCAGCTGGAAGACGTGTCACGCTTCCTCAAAGGTAAACGCCTGGATGAGAAATAAGGAAATGCTTGATAACGAAGCACCCAGAGTCAATTACATATTCAGTTAATGTCTTTGTCTTTTTGTCTCCCTCCACACACACACACACACACACACACACACACACACACACACACACACACACACACACACACACACACACACTAAACACACAGAACGCACAGGGTTCATTCTGCGTCCTGTAGCAGGTCTGCTCTCAGCCAGAGATTTCCTGGCTAGTTTGGCGTTCAGGGTGTTCCAGTGCACCCAGTACATCCGGCACGCCTCCTCTCCTATGCACTCTCCAGAGCCGTGAGTAAACTGTGACTCCTTCTGTCAAATCTTTATGCTCATCTTGACAAAACAAGTCCTGGCTTCGTCAATAACTTGGCAATATTTTGAGTTAGTCACAGATAGTGGCAGATAGAAAACTGATAGAAAATTGACAGAAAAATCAAGGTAAATGCAGATATTGCTATTATGAGAATCCTGTGTTCAATCGGTTCACTTTTCAATGGTAAAAAAAGAGAAAAGTTTGAACAAATCCCAGTTTTTTTTCCGTCTGTATTCGCGTATAAAAACCTGAATATGGACGTTAACTTTGGATCAAATAAGGCCCCGGTTGAACTTTCGTTTTGTGCCTTTCTTTCCAGAGACTGTGTCCATGAACTGTTGGGCCACGTCCCTATGCTAGCAGATCGCACTTTCGCCCAGTTTTCGCAGGTGAGGCGAGAAGCTAGCAGATGTACAGGTTATTATTCATAGTGCTGTACTGATGTGTAGCATTGTAACAATATATTGATGTATTTTTTCTTCAGAACCTTGGACTTGCATCTCTTGGAGCATCGGATGAAGATATAGAGAAACTGTCCACAGTAAGACCCTCGTCCTCAAACACCGACAGAAATGACACACTGTATGGAAACTATCCAAGTAGGGTGGGGGAAACAAATGTATTCATCTTTATAGATACATTTACAGGTCTTTTTTACTATCCTTATTAGTGATTGTAAGCATTTATGACTTATGACTTATGACTGACTATTAAGAGTACCTTAATCCAAAATCTGGGGCAAGAACTCACTCAAGAGCCTCCCCTGCTGGTTAAAAACAAAAAAGCCTTTAAGTCAAAAAGGGAAAACATTAACAGACCATCCAACTATTACGACCACATTGGTTGGTTTTTCTGTTCTTGATAAAGTAAAGAAAAATGTCACATTTTTACAGACACACATATTCACACCTAGATGGCGGAATAAGCTAAAGCAACAGACACAACCAAAAAAAACAAAAACAAAAAATCCCGACATAATTTCATGTGGTCAACATTGTGAAACAGTTGGTTTGTTTGGGTTCAGTCAGAAAAAAATACCCCAGGGATTGGGAAAGATCATGTTTTGGGGTTAAAATAACATTTGTGGGGTCAGTTAGGTCATGTACGGGAGTTATGCTGCTCATGTGACCTAAATACTCAACAACAACTTTTGGTTGAAGTCATGCATGTTCCTCTCTACCTATTTTTTCGTGGTACCTTCTCCTAAAGTTGAACAAATGATAAATTGATTGTCCAACCCCTGGCAGCCTTTGTATTTTCAGTTAATCACTCTATGTTTTTCCCATCAGCTGTACTGGTTCACAGTGGAGTACGGCTTATGTAAACAGAACGGGGAGGTGAGGGCCTATGGTGCTGGACTGCTGTCTTCCTATGGAGAACTCGTGGTGCGTTTTTGCACGTTTTCTCAATCTAATTTCTTGACCAGAATTAAGATGAGTCAAAACTAAAACAGTCCTATATATTTTGTTTGATTTTCCAGCACTCACTTTCTGATGAACCAGAAACGAGGGAGTTTGAACCAGAGGCTGCTGCATTGCAGCCCTACCAGGACCAGACCTACCAGCCTGTCTACTTTGTCTCTGAGAGTTTCTCAGATGCCAAAGAGAAATTCAGGTATTGAACCACACATGCTTTCATTCTTATTTGGGTCCCACTCAAACAAATAGAACTAGAAAAGCACTCGGAGAGCACAGACCTCCGCCAAGCAGCTCATGTCCCCCCTTATATTGTGATTCATACCAAAACTTGTACTGTTACGTGTCTTTTATTAACTTTTATTTGTGTTTTTAACTTTTATTTTGCGCACACTTCCTTGTATCTTCATTGGTTATCTTTCAGCATTGAAAATTCCAACGACACCCTTATTTTTGTGTGTTCTGGATCACAGTATCCAGAATTTTGTCTGGATCAGAATCAACCATTGGCACCTCATAAAACTCATTGAGATCCTTTTGTGTCATTTTTTACTAAAGACTCTGGCCATTTTTATAGAGTAAATGCAAAAATTCCAAAATTTGCCTTATCTCACAATGATAAAGAATCCTTCAAAAAATTCCTGGATCCAGAAGGTGATCCGGATCACCACCAAAATTTAATGGGATCCTCCTGGGGCTGAGACGCACCTCTGGTGAAAATTTCAGGTCAATACGTCTGTAACTTTCTCCGTAAAGTTGCTAACAGACAAACAAACTAACAAACCAACGCTACCAAAAACATAACCTCCTTGGCGGAGGTAACAAATACACAGACTACAAAGAGATGGAGAGGAGAAGAACAAAAAAAGGGGTTATGCAAGGACAAGGTCAGAAAACAGCCAGCCGGCCCCTGAGGCCACAATTTTTTGTAGGTCAGCCATAGCAGCAAGGAGACAGCTGTTACTAATGTAGTCTTTCTTAACGAGGCATGACGCTGGAATTTTATCTGGCAAACAGATCAAAAGATAACTGCAAAACAAGTAGCATTAGTGAGTATTTAGGCATTAAGAATAATACAGAACATTACATCCCTGCTACTCTGAGGAAATACTAGAAAAGTGTTCGGAAAATGTAAAAAAGGACATAAAGAACTTTTTAGTGTGTGCATGCAAGGATGCTGATAAAGGAAGGGTTTTACGGTCTTAATGTGCACATACAGTATACTGAGAGGCAAATCATGAGGAATAAATCAAAGAGTCAGCTTTTATTTATTTATTTTTATTATTGGCCTAAAATCACATTAAAAGTTAGTTGTATTATTTAGAGCAGTGGTTCTCAAGTCCAGTCCTCGAGGCCCACTGTCCTGCATGTTTTGGATGTTTCCCTGCTCCAACACACCTGATTCAAATGATCAGCTCGTTATCAAGCTCTGTAATGGCTTAATAACAAGCTAATCATTTGAATCAGGTGTGTTGGAGGAGGGAAACATCCAAAACATGCAGGACAATGGGCCTCGAGGACTGGACTTGAGAACTACTGATTTAGAGAAACTCTTTGACGATCTACCATAAGCAAGCACCTCTTTTACACAGACAGACACCTGACGTAGAGCCAGGCGGAGCAAAATGACTTCTGCTGAGACTAGATGGAGAGAGAAGCAGAAACAGAGAGAAGGAGAGAGACAAACAGACAGACAGATTACAACAGAGAGGATGAGTGTGTATGTAATGATAATGATAGTTGTGATCTATCTAATGTCAGTATTAACAACCGAAAAAATGAGTAACATGAGTTTGATTAAGAATAATAATCCAAGCTGGGAGAGTCAAGCAGGTTTAGTGACAGACTGTCTCCAGAAACAGTTTGTCACAAGGAAGGCAGTCTCAGCCTTTAACAGCAAAACCAGGACTGCTTTAGCCAGTACTAAGTGTAAGTTTTAATAAAAAGGAGATGTTTAGGCTTATCCTCAAAAGTTGTGAGGGTGGGTGTTTGCCTCTCAAAGCTGCCAGAGGGCTCTGATAATCTAAAGCTCTCCCATACAACTTTTGGACACAAAAAAACAAGAAGGCCAGTCTTCTGGGACTATGAGCTCTCTAAGATATGTTAGACCATTAAGAGCTGTGTGATTGATAATTATTATTCATCTTTTTTTGTAGTGGCAGTGCAAAGAACGTCATATATCTTGAAGACCTCAGCTTTGGTAGATTTGTTCTAATGTCTCCTTTTACTTCATTCAACAAAGTTTTGTGTCTTTGTCAGGGGGTACGTGTCAGGTATCAAGCGTCCCTTCTCGGTGAAGTTTGATCCATACACCAACAGCATTGAGGTGCTGGACAGTCCACTGAAGATCCAAGGCTGCTTGGAGAGTGTAAAAGATGAGCTGAAGATCCTGACAGACGCTCTCGGTGTTTTGTCATGATGATGCCCTCTGTCTGTGAACACCCCACTGTTTTTTGCTTCCTATCTGCTGCGCCTACGATCAGACCAATGTGTTCCTCTTTTTGTGCTGTTTTCCTTCATCACGATGCTGTTCCTGATCAGTTGTTGCTTGCTGTTGCTGGATGGTTGGCCAAAAAACCTCAATGATGTGGGTTCAGGCAATGTTTCCAAAGATGTTTAACACCCATGATGGGGTCTCATTAACATTTATGCTTTAAAGCGATGTGTCGTCTGAGAAATGTGTGAAAACCTGAACCAAAAGTAAAGAGAACGGTGTTAATGAATGTATTAAAGAAAAATAAATGTTTATAGTTTAATTATTGTCAATTAAAAGAAACCTTATCATAAAATAAAGAAAAAGTGTATATTCAAACCATGTTATTTTATTAGGAAAAACTAATATTTTTATTTCACATAATTCAGCATTTGATCACAGATTTGCTGATTTAAAAGGTTTGATTCTGTCTTTGTCTTACAGTGTAAATGCATAATAACAAACACATAGTTTTCATGTGATGTACTGTTGATAATCACCTCAACTAAAATAATCTGTCAAATAATAAAGAGCTGCAACTGAACTTCTCTCTGTCATGTTTAAGAAATACAAATGTGTCATTCCTTTGACTTCAGGGACATAATTTTCCTTTATCTGCCACAAGAGGGAGCTGTCTTGCAGCCTGTACCTGCCCTGTCTTTCTTAGTTATTACAGCAGATGCTACATGTTGAGCCCGTTGCGGTAACTACTGTGTATGGTGACCTGCCTTCGATCTCAATGGGATGTTCAGCAGAATATTCAGAAAATAATGACACAGATACTTCAACAACAAATCCCATTTCGTGATTTGCAGGTTAGGATGAAGTAATATAGAAATACAGGTGCTGAAATTATATTTTGTTCTCAATATCTGTCAAAAATTAATCTGTTAAAATAATCTGTTAAATGAGAGGCACTTTACTCAACAGCAGGACAAACAAATACTCTTAAATTAATATCAATCTTATTGGAGACAGTGTCAAATATGGAAAAATGAAGCCATACGGACAGGAGCTCAGTCTGGCCTCGTTACTTCAGCAGCTCACCCTGGACAAACTTGAGAGTTGATCTGAACAGAGCTCCTGGTGGTCAGTCAGGTAAGAGGCTGTGAATCAGCACATTGTAGCCCTCTAACCCTGAAAGCTGACAAACAAACGGAGGTTCGCCACTTTGACCACTAGGTGTCAGTCTCAGTCTGAGGACTTCTCCACATCCTAACCTGCTGTAAGGGCCACACTTACATAAGGGGACCCTCACTCAGGTTTACAAAGAAAGAACCCCTTCCCAGTGTTTTTTTTTTTCTTTCTTTGATAAATTTAAAGTATTCTGTGTACTGTGGAGTTGCATGTGCCACAATATGAGTCTTTCATGACAGGCTCTTCATGGGTCAGAGTTTAATTTCTGTTCTTTGCAATGTAACTATTGTTTTCTTATTAATACTATTTAAAATTTATTTTTTCAGTTATAAAATCCATTATTATGTTGTTCTTAAAGTGCCGTGTATACACTGACTACAGGCTGGTAATCCAACAGTCACCACTGATGCTGCAGCATCCTCTTTCTTCTCTACATATGCCCACCTTCAGGTGCGAGAAGATCAACCCTGGTCACCCATGTTCTCCCCCTTAGTCTACTTCTCCTCCTCAGTCATGGACCGCACTGACCACAATGCTTTTACTCAGATTGTTGAGCTTAATTACAGTAGAGGGAAGCTTTGACATGTTTCTTGAAGTCTGAGGAATTACATCTATTCTTGTTCAGTCAGCGCCCTGTGCGTAAACATGGTGATTGTAGGTTACTGTGCGTAAACGTGGAAAATGCGTATGGAATTGTTCCATATTTTGTGACTCTTACTCTCCCCTTTCCCTCTATTGCTCTTTTTGCTTTTTCTCCCTTTAAGCACTTTTCCATAAAACCTGTCTGTACCATTTCTCTTTTTTCTTGCTGTGTAAAGAGGAGGAGCGAGGGGTGGGGTTGTGTGTAAGGGGCGTGTTTTGGTATATAATACTTCAAACCGTCAAGTTTTGCCTGTCTCCTGCCGCCTGGTTTCTGGGACAGCATACATCATCCCTTTTAGCCGCTCCAACTGGGAAACTAACTCATCTAACATCTTTCCAACCAAATAACCCCCTAACGTTTTTGACTACTGCTATATCTGACATGGAGACCCAGCAAAGAAACGGACACCACTCACTTTGCCACACCTGCCGGAGAACGGAAAGCAGCAGAATGAAGGTAACCAGACGGAGAGAAATACTTTTTTACCATCCGGTTTTGCTGTGTGATTGTTGTTAGACCTCTGGCGGGGTTGTTACTGGTTTTTTTTTCTTGGTTTAAGATGTGAGAAAACCGCTTCTGGCGCAGCAGACGCGTTTACGCACATCATTTTTGTGCAGAAAAGGCATCCGGACACTTCTAAACTTGCATGCAATGGATAAAGTTCAGTATGCACGAATGACATTGGGAGCTGCTGTAGGCTTCGTGCATTTGTGCAAAAAAAGTGGCCTTGTACAATAGATGAAAAACTGCTCAGAGTTTTTTTTTTACTCTTCCTTTTCTGGATGGGGCATCCCGTTCGCAGAACTTGCAAACAGCTGGTCTATTTCTCGGCAGATAGGGGGCGGTAGGTCTGAGGGTCAGTGAGCTCATCTCAGGGTGAGCAAGGAGAAAATATATGCTGAGTCTGGCTTTTCAGATAGTTAACTATCGAGCAGCCGGTCTTGCAACTCTTGGAGAGTTGTGTAAGAGTGAGAAAGGCAGAGATTCGGTCTCTTTTTTTTTTCCTCCAGAATAAGCACTTTTCCCAGATGCGTCGCAGTGACAGCGGCTGATAACAGTCTAAATAAGGTTGGGGGACATTATTTGTCTCACGCAATAAGCTCGTCCTGAGTTACTAGGTCAGTACAAAGAAGAAGCGCATAACACTGGGGATCGTACATGTTGTACGAGCATGAAAAGTGAGTACGCAAAAAGTGGATCCTCCTATAGCCGATCACACTGAAGGGCAACATCTGGCTGTCATCTGGGATTTTTTTTTTCTGTTCTGAGGATTTCATTACTTTTGACATGAGTGCTTGAGTGCATGTGTTAACATATTCTGCTATGTATGTTTTTGTTTGCAGGTCAAGAAGATGTCTTCGTTCAGTCGCGCGCTGCTCTTTGCACTGGCCCTGACGCTCTACGTTGTGGAAATGTCCTCGGCGGAGACGCTGTGTGGGGGAGAGCTGGTGGATGCGCTGCAGTTCGTTTGTGAAGACAGAGGATTTTATTTCAGTAAGTTTTTCAAAGCAGGACAAGTTCCCCCTGCGTGAATGTTGTTTGGCTGTTTTATGTCTCTCTGTTGAGTCTCACATCTGTTTGGATAGCTGAGACTATCGCTCTGTCTGTGGCTGTGCGGTATGCGTGTTTGGTATTTGTCTTTCTCACACGCACACACAAACACGAAAGAGAGAGAGAGAGAGCGAGAGAGAGATTATAGCCAGCTGTGTGTCTCAAGACCTGGTCCAGGCTGCTTTGCTGAGTGTGCGCATTCTGTCTGCAGCCCATACCTCTCATTGCATATGAAAGGCCGGCGAGCTGTGAAGGCACACACGACCCCGCGCGACACAATGGACCGCTTGTTTACCAGTAAAGTAATAGCACCCCAAGAGGCATACCAGTCACCTCAGCACCAGTGTTCCCAGGCCAGGCGACCACACTGATGACTCTGAGGGGGAAGGAAAGAGAGGAGGGGAAGGGGGGGTGTTTTTGATGTCAGGTTAAGAGGACGGATCATTAACATCAATTCTGATCATTGCTTCCATTGTGGTGATGATGGGAATAGCTGTAAAGCATTATGGGAATGCATTGTGGTGGCTGTTAATCCTCAAATGGATAAGCTTCTGTTTGCACAGTCTTTGCCACAATCATACCTTGTCTCTGCACGGGGAAAGCACTTTCTTCTTAAATCTAGACAGGCAATTTCTTTGTTTGCCTTATTTTTTTTGCCACAGAAGCTTCACTCCCATTAGAATGATCATTATCCAATTTAAAGCAAAATAAACGTGCTCAACCTCCTCCTCTTCTTTGCCTTCCTCATCACCTCTCATGTTCTCCCCCTGCAACCGAATCTCAGCTTCTCTCTCATGAGATTTCCGCGACATTATGTGAGACAGGGGACTTCAAGCAAGGCACAGATAGTTTTCCCTGCATTCTTCCTTCAGGTTTTTTTTCTCTCTCCTCTTTTGTCTTTACTCTCTTCTTTGTTTTGCATTCTTGACCCTCACACACCCTCTCCCTCTCTCCCCTTTCTCCTGTTTTCTCTGCCCTTTCTCCCTCTCTCACCCTCCTCATCCTCTTTATTATCTCTGACTTGTTGACTTGACAAAGGACAAGGTCAAAGAAGAGTTTCCATTTTATATATTTGCTTTTTCAAAGGTCTGTCTGAGAGCTCAGCTGTCTGTCTCTTGGTGTCTACAGCCCGGCATGTTTACTTGTGTATTCACTCATTAAAGGACTTCCAGATAACCCTAATCAGATTATCCTCTACAAACAAAAAGATTTGTTTCAGTTGGTCATAGATTTCCTTTTATCCTCTTTGCCCAGTGGGCTGCTACATTTATCAAAGTAATCCTGCGAAAACAACCCAGATTCATTGCTAGTGCACATGTTGTGGCCTTCCTCATCCCTTGTTGTCTTCTTCCTCAGGTAGGCCAACCAGCAGGGGAAACAACAGGCGTCCCCAGAACCGTGGGATTGTAGAGGAGTGTTGTTTCCGTAGCTGTGACCTCAACCTGCTGGAGCAGTACTGTGCCAAACCTGCGAAGTCTGAAAGAGACGTGTCGGCCACCTCTCTACAGGTCATACCCGTGATGCCCGCACTAAAGCAGGTACGTTTATCATCAACAACAACAACACGCCAGTATGGGAAATGCTGCTAATCCGCGTCTCTATCTGTCCTGACATCTCCTGCACCTCCATTCACCTCTGAGCCTTACCCACATGTCCCCGTCACCTAGTACACAGTGAAACCCACGCAGAGACAGGTTTATCTTGTTAAATGGCCATTACTAAGCAGTTACCTTCCATGCAAAATGCTGACCGCCGTGGAAATCATCGAGACGGTCACAGCATGTTGTACTCAGGAAAAGGCAGAGTCATACTCACACACTGAGACAGTGTCTATGTATGTGTGTATGTGAGAGGGAGAGGGAGAGAAGGTCTGTGAGATGGTGGATACTGCAGGGCCAAACAAAACAGTGAGTTCTGAGTGTGTGATTATTAGTCACGGAACAGCAAGCTCTCTGAAACTGGCATCCATTTTGGTCCTCGCGGTCTAAAACACCTGACCCGGACAGTCAAGCTTCTTCAAATTATGTCACCATCATGCAGAGAAGCAGCCGAGCATTTCAGGCTTTTTCACTGCAGTCACAAGACTGAGCTATGGCAGCTGTCCAGACATCCCTGAGACCGTCTTGGAGGCATACAAGGAAGATGTTTTTTTTTTAAGGTTACTGGAGTGACTTCTATGAAAGCACTAGGGTTTAAAAGATTACTCAGATACTACAAATGTCAGAAGAAAAATAATGCAGCTTCTATTAAAATGCAAGAACAAGAGGCTGCTGAGGAATTAGTTGGGACATGTCCCTAGCTAGTCTGTGCAGGGAGAGTTGATGGGTACAGGCTGCTCTGAGGGCCAGCTGTTCTTAAGGCTATTGAGCAGGCCTGCAGTGAAAGAAGGGGGGTAAACACTCCTCAAGTGGCAGGACCAAAACAAGCCATTCACATGGAGCACTGGCTACTCGCGCATAAATTCTGACCGTGTTGCTACCACTCCCACTTTGCCTCAGTCTCTGGTGCTGAGCTAACAGCTTATGCTGTTTAAAGCAGTGTGTTTTTAATTTATAATGTGTGTATGTGTGGTTTCACTGGGGCTGTGGAGGTTAGTCAGTTCGGCGGGTCATTGGCTCCTCATATGTATATGAGGCGGGTGGCCGCCCTTCCCTTTGACAGTATGTTAAAGAGGCTGAACTAAGCACTTGTTGACAGCTTCTCTCAGTTGAGGAAACCAAAACAAGGGCTAGTTGGAGGCAGGGTGCGTCTGTTATGACGCTCAGTGCTGTAAGAATGACATTTGATTTCCATTTGAGCAGCCTAACAATAACTGAATGTTTTCACTAAACAAACAAGGCCTTCCTCCATTGTGACATCAAGTACATGCACAGCATCTTATCACTCCTAATGAACTGACCCCTTCTTTTCCCTTTTTCCCTCCATTTTCGCCTGCACGCCACAATAGGAAGTCTCAAGAAAGCAGCATGTGACCGTGAAGTATTCCAAATACGACGTGTGGCAGAGGAAGGCGGCCCAGCGGCTCCGGAGGGGCGTCCCCGCCATCCTGAGGGCCAAAAAGTTTCGGAGGCAGGCGGAAAAGATCAAAGCCCAGGAGCAGGCGATCTTCCACAGGCCTCTGATCAGCCTGCCCAGCAAACTGCCGCCCGTTTTGCTCGCTACGGACAACTATGTCAACCACAAATGAGCCCGCTGCCAGCCCTTTGCACAGACAAGAGTTTGGAGGGAGAAAAAAAGACTAGGGGATTATAGCTTTGTCTCTGACGTCATTTCTGTGGCAGTCCTCTTTGACCTCCCCTGCCCTGTCCGAGCCCACCAATCCCTCCCCCTGCTCTCATCCACTACTTCTTGACCCCCTCGCCCTATTCCAATGCCTCCCCCGCAACTCAACCCACCAACCCTCCTCTGGCACACAAACATGCCTTCACATTCTTCCCGTCTGAACTCCATCCCTCTTTCAGTCACTGACACAAAAGGCACTAACACAAATGATGAACAAAAAGTTAACAATTTGGCTGAATGCAATTCAGGTGGATCCTTAAGCAAAAGAGAAACGGGAAAAGGAGAAAAGAAGATGAAAGAGACCTGGGGTTTGTTAGTGTCAAGAGGACACCCAGAGGAATGTTTTTTGTCCTTGTGGAAGACAACTGAAAGTGAAGAGCAGCTTGCATGAAAGAATCCATTCCACGTCATCGTTCCTGAGGCAAAAACGAAAATCTCTGTTAGTTCTTTTTCTTATTAGTTTGCACCTCTACCTATAAAGGGACTTCCACACTGTAAGGAATTATTTTGTAAAATTAGATTCCTGTTCCAGCACCTTTTGATCACAAACAAAAAGCAGAAAAGAGTCTGCAAAATTGCACATTGCCACGGATTACGTCAAAGTAAAGAAAAAAATGGCACTATTTTTTTATGAACAATGAACGTGTAGCTTAAAAAAATGTCATGGTGCTAGCTTTGGGAATCGACTCAAAGAAGAGGTTGAAAAGCACGTTTTTTTTTCTTTGAATGAATATTAAAACTTTCCGTTTTAAGGAAAGTGTGACTTTAAAAGAGAAAAAAAGGATTTGGGGAGCTCCTGACAGTGGCAATGTCAAGGGGGAAGTGTCACTGAGAAAAGATACGGGCTGTGTCGGCGTCTCGGCTCACAGTGAGTGCTAGCGGCTGCTCATCACTAGCTTGCCAGTGCAAGCGGCAAAGGGGGACCTGCAACCTGGTCCCGTGTCCCCACGGTCACTCTGAGGCTGCCACACACAGGGAACAGTGTGGGGACACATTGGGGACACTGTGGACCGCCTGGATTGGGACAGTACTACAGTTCTGGGACAGTACTTTCTGTTTGCCATGGCTTTGCAGACTGCTCTGACAGGACGTTACATGGCATGGACAAAGAGCTAGTGGGATAATGATTATATTTTATTTTGTCTTTTATTTCTGTTTCTTTTCATATCAATGTCTCAATGAAAAAGGAAAACCCTGTCAGTTTCTGGTACCGTGACATTCCTGTTTTTCCAAGTTAGGCTTTTTTTGTTTCCATGGTTTTTGTTCTAATGTTATTTTACAGTTCTAAAGAAAGGCACAAACTTACAATTCAAAGGGAAAAAAACAGCAATAATGTCAACTAACATTTTATTTTTATTGTATATCAGTAGTATTCACATGCTTTTGCCTGAAAACAAATACTTGAATATATATATACATCTATATATATATGTATATATATATATGTATGTGTATATATATATATATATATATATATATATACATACATATATATAAATATAGAAATATAATTAGTTTCCAGGGACGTTGTGTTATTTTCCTTTAGTCTGAGCTGTATCTTGCGTAATGAGCCGCCAAGCTTTTTTGTTTATTTGTTGAAATACAAATAAGGGCACTGTATAAAGGCATTATTTATTTTGTTATAAAATATATTTGAGAAATTGGTCCAAATAATATACGTAGCACTGATGCTCAACTGACGGTTTTACTTTGTTTGATCTCTGTTTTCCAATTGGAGTTGTAAGGCTTTTTTGTAGATGCTTTGTACCAAAAATAATGTCTTCTATTTTCTTCCTTTATTGTCTGCCATAGTTACTTTCAATTAATATTTTAACAGCAGCATAGCCTGGATTGCTTTGGCATGTTATGTCACAGAAATAGGCACATACTCTAAGTACATTGGTCTGCATGGAGGTCCAGAAGCCTGTCAGGGTGATCTGTGAACAAGGAAAGCATCAATGAGTGAAAAATATCTGTTTAACATTGATTGTACTCAAACCCACTATGTTTTAAAGCCACTTTAGTATTGGAGGCAGGCAGGGGGATTGATCAGTTCCTCATTAAATCATGTCTTTGTAATTGTGCATGGTGTCATATGATCTTCTAAGGAGCATCCTGCCCATGTGCCAGTGCCACTCATGTTGTTGTCGGTTTGGCTCACACAGCCATTAATGTCTGGTCAGTTTTTTAGATTTAGGGTTGAGCTTACATGTGTCTTACACGAGTTATTATGTTGATGCCTTAATTGGAGGTTAGGATGTTGCTGTGATGCCATCAAAGGTCACCCAGAGGTCTTTGTGTTTCAAAGAGAAAGTGTATCATCGTACTACCTTACTGTCTCTCTCTCACTCTGTCTCCGTCTCTCTCTCTCTCTCTGTGTCTCTCTCTCTCTGTTTATCTGATCTGTCCCTGACCTAAAGCATCAACTCCATGTTTCTGTATTTGCATGGCGAGAGAAAGGAATCAGGGTTTATTCGCCCGCCATTTACATCTCAACAATCTTCCAATTATCCATCCATTATGATGCATTTGATGAAGGGCTATCACGCTGAACCATTTCTGGAGCACTCAGGAACTAAGAGAAAAAAAAAAAAAAGACAAAAACAATCTATGCTCTGCTATGGAGATGTGGACTATGTGCTGAGTGTAAGTGATAATCTTGTTGTGGAAGGGTAAGCATACCTGGCCACAATGATACAGCTCTCTGTGACAAACCACTGAAGCCCATGTCAGAAACAAGGTCATTTAGTGCCACATCATGCTTCCTCCTTATGTCATGTATCGCCCATGAAATGGAGACTCAATGGATACTTGTTCTGCTGCGGTGAATATGATACTTTTATCCTCTTTCTGTCAGAAAGATCTCAATTATCACGGCTGCGTCCTGTCTCTGATTATATTCTACTTCATTTGTGCAACAAAGCAGGCAGTGCAATTACTATTATAATTATATTATTATTATTATTATTATGATTAATATTATTGTTATTATATTATTTTCTATTTTATTCTATATTTTCCTGCTAGGACTGCATTCATTCACTATTGTAATGTTCAAACAGGCGACTCTAGTGTTCCTATGAATGGCGTGAAAGACAACCACTTCTTTTTGCTGAATATGAAGAGATACCTTGCCGAGCAATGGCAACTTTTTCTGTGTCAGTAGCTCACTCAGCCTGTGTGTATTTTATTGATTTAACCTCTGCACGCTAGAACGTCCGAAATGCACAATTCATGTACTTTCATTTTTAATATCAATAAAAAAACATTTTATCAAACAGAAGTCTAAAAGCTTTTTACTGCTTTTTGTTCAGCCTGTGTTTGATGTGTGTTAACACTTTCTGCTGCGGGTTTAGAGCCATTTTTGAGATTTTTTTCCCATATCAATTAAACCCTATGTGCTCTGTAAATGATTTATTACATCTTAAAGCCTTGCAAAGAGGCTTCAGTTGCTTTTAGCACCCTTGCTTCTCCTCCTTTCACCCACTCTCGCCCTCATCTCTGCCTGAGTCCTGTCTGTCTGTCTGTATATCTGCCTCCTGCTCTTTGATACGGACAAGTAGAAATCAGCATGCCACACTAAACCTGACCTGTTCTCCTTCCCTCTGATGCACCCATCCGTTGCTCCATCTCCCCATCTTGATTCGCTAGCTACTGGAGTTACTGGAGCAAGCTTCACTTCAGCGGCTAACTTTAGTAACTAACATGTCTCAAATTATCCCGTGCATATTCCAAAAATGACTCGACCTTTCTTTGTTGACATGCGTGCACACACCCACGCATGGGAATGTTGTTACCGGGCAGATTTACAGTTCAGTATCTTTGTTCAAAGAATAAAGCCGTTTTGGGCTCTGGGGGTTTTCTCAGTGCAGCAGAGTTTACTGTAGCTCTCTGTTGTGTTTTTAGGTTGGCATCAAAGAGACTGAACTTTACAACCAGAAGAGGCAAAAATCTCCTTTTTCATCTTGTGCACGTTTTTTTTTTCTTTTTTTCTTTTTTGAATTGTAGCGACAGCAGTCTGCTATCTTTGTAAATGAGCTGGTGTTCTGTATTTATAACCATAAATCATTTTAACTGAATCACCTTTGTCTGTCTTATTAAACCTAATTGACCTCAAGCAAAAAGAGGGAAAAACATCCTGACAGGAGGATCCATTATCAATTTCTTACTTCCTAAAGTTGTTTACAGACGGCACAAGTTGACACACATCTGGGCTAAAACGTAGTATGTGAACAAACACGCCAATTGGCACCTCTTGGGCCTCTTTGATCGGCACCGTCACTCTATAACCTTTTTCTGATAAATGCATTATTAGCTGAATGTTTTTCACCCCTAACTGCTAATGCTTCACTCTCCCTGAGTATTTTGAACGTGTTTGCAGGTGTGTGTGTGTGTGTGTGTGTGTGTGTGTGTGTGTGTGTGTGTTCTCCAGCAGCTGCTTTGGGACTGTGCCGCTTCCCTGCAGGTGTTTATACATAGACTAATTCTCTTGAGTTTGGTAATGAGATCAGGGACTCTCTGTCCCTCAGGGCTCATCACGTCACCGCTGTGCCTGACAGAACTTCGGCTGGCACGACATAAGTCAACCAAAACAAGCCAAACTGGGCCCCTTAGCGCCACATCATCACTTGTTTTCCTGACTGGTGAGTGAGTGTGATAGATGTGTTGACAAGATCTTGTCAAGATGATCAAAGCTGATACTGTGTGGGTGTCCTTAACAGAGCTGAACAAAGTGGAAGTTCAAGTGTTTATAGGTGCGTATGCAGTAAAAGCATCTGATACAAGTTTTAATTGATATTTTGAATATCAGCAAAAAAATCATTTGTATGTTATCCATAACAAGTGAAGGTACAATGCCACCTTATATGAACATGTAGGAGACAAATTAACTGTGAACCCGAACCCACGCATCTATCCCCATCAGAGAGGCCTCCTGAACTGTGGAGCCCGGTGTAGATGTGGGTGGCACAACTCTCCCAGGCCTGACATTGGAAACTGCCAAAGAGCACACTAGAGTTAGTTGTGGTTGGCCGGATGCACGGGATGCATGTAAGGCCAGGCCAACTATTGAGGCACAGGGTTTGGCAAGCCCAGACCATCACAGCCCAGCGTGGCCACACAGGCCAATTAAGACGGTCCTTCTCCTCTCCTTTCTTCTCCTCCCCCTTCTCTTGTGTGTCTCTCTCATCTCTCCCTCTCTCTTTATCACTCACTTTCTCCCTTGTACTCCCTCTCTCTTTCTCCTGATCCTCACAAAGCGTGCTCACACATTCCTCTTCTCCCACTTTGCCTCCCTAATTGCTGTGGACTGAAAAGAGGGATGGAGAGAGGGGAGTGAGATTGAGAGAAAGAGACCGAGAGAGGGAGAATCAGAGGGAAAGGGGGTCACACCAGAGAACTTCTACGGCCAGGACAAACTGTACTGTCCCCTGGGAGTAGTCAAAACTCTTGTGTTTGGTGCGTTTGCCCCCTAGCACTCTCTTTCTTTCATTAATTATACCAAAACATAACGATTTGGCTAATTTCTGCTAAAGTGCGTCATTTCATAAAGGAAAATATGTCTCAATCTACGTCGCTTTAGAGCTCTGAGGTAGTTACAGCAGAGCCAGAGCATAAAGAGCGGATTGTGTTTCTTCAGCGCCCCACAAAACTATCTAATTGTTGATTCCTAATCAACCAGGAACTGTGAGGAGGCTTTCCTAATTATGTAACCCTAGGTTCTGATACATTAACAATAAAGTGAAGTTTTGATGGGTTTTGAAAGTAAGTTCAAAATTGTATGAGAAGAAGAGACAACAATTAGGGGACTCTTCTATATAAAAGGACAACAGAAAGTAGCGACCACTCTTTCAGAACTCACATTTTCAGGTCGGTTGAGGTGAAAGATGCTGCAGCAGTATGGATGGGGTGCTTGTGTGCAGAGTGCAGGGGGAAAACCAAGTGTGCATAAACAGGGAATCCAAGGTTTAAAAAATGGTTGAACACAGAGTGAAATCGGACCCAAATAAACAAGCTCAAACTCTAAGGATTTTTCTAGGTTATGCCGTCAATGTGTCAGAAAACATATTTTTGTCCTACAAGTTTGGTAGATTGTGTGATTTGAGGTTCAAATGAGGACAGAAATGATCATTGAGAGGATAGTTCATTGAAACTGGTTTCAACTGATGTGTTTTAAACATTCACAGACATCATTGATTTTCAGGTCATGTCTCATGTTCTTTTGCAATTTGAATGAATATATCACAGTACATCATGGTCACCTTTTATAAACAGTGTGTAGGAGCAAGCAAGGTTTCAATCCTGCAGCCTTCTTGCTGCAATGGTTTCCTCCGATTTCTTCTCATCATGGCACCAACAGGTATTACTCATCTACTTCACCTGTCATCATCACACAACCCATGTCTGTCAAGTAACATGTCAAAATTACATCTTTGCATGGACTGGATGTAAACTATGAGTCTTTATTTTACCCTGAAATAAATCACTTATGAATATCATGAAACAAAATGTGTTGTCTGATGTTTTATTCACCTGTATTGTTGTTAGTGCAGAAGTAGTTGAAATCAGGGCTACACAAAGATACAATTTCAATGCATTAAACATATCATACTACAATGTATGCACTCTATTGTCTGTGTAATGTTTACAAGAACACTCTCAGATGTTTTAAAGAGAGCAACTTTAAGCAAAAGGAAACTTGTTGCCCTGATGGGCACTGAGAAAGCTGATATCTGACAGACAACAGAATTTGTAGGACCTTTTCATTATCATTCTATTATATATTTCGATACTTATTTCATTTATTGTTTAAATCAAACTATTCAATATATAGTTTAACAAAAACATTTCCAATTAAGTTTGAAAGGGAGCAGAAAGGAGAATAATCTTACATAATCTGCCCCTTTACTCCAAGAAATGAAATTACAAAGAACTTGAAAAACAACAAGAAAATAAACAGCAAAATAATAATAATTAACCTATACAATAAAATAGTTATCAGCCAACACTGACAGTCACATCTCATTTTAATTCGACAGTCAAATGTCATTAACATGTTTCAGTATATTTCCTTGACATACTAGCTATCCTTGATTACTATAAGTGGTTTCAGTGCTCAAAGTTGCATGTTTGAATCCCACTCCTCCATTCCAATTACCTTGACGCACTGTAATACAGACCTTTAAAGTCCCACTCTGATCGTATTTTTTTTTATTATCTAAAGTGTTATCAGTGGCCATTAAATTGTGATTATGACGTTTTTAGCCAATATCACGTTAACTAAGTCATTTTCAAGGGCTTTTCTTCTGCAGAGCTACAGTAGATCATTAGCAATTCATCTCTGAGTCGTGGTCAGAGACAGCAATGCTCTGTGTCCATCTCTTCATGTTAGCTTGTAGCCTAACATTGCCGTTGCAGCAGAAGTAGCAGGTAACATAGCAGCCATTCAGCTCTTGGCCACTGATGTCTTTGTGGACATAATGAAAGCCAATTTCATAATTAGCTTTCTTACAAGCGTTGCGTTTCACTAATGCACATGTTTGCTCCGCGATCGTCCTCTCTGCTTCTGAAGTCTGGCCTGCAGAGCGGGGCTCAGGGGGCGGAGCTTGAAGTTGTGACGTAGAAAATCCCACTGTGTCTAAACCTGCTGTTTGGGTAGGTTAACAGCGATTTGAATGCAGAAATACTCAGAAATGCAGTTTTGGACTTATTTTTCTCATATGTCCTCAAGCATCAGAAAAATGCCAAATGAACATGTAGACAACAAGGAAGACATGATTTTCACCAGAGTGGGTCATTAAGTAATATGTATGACATGAGACTGTGTGATAAATTTTGTATTTATTAATAATCTATTTCTTTTTTGTGGTTCATTGGTGAAATAACATTACAATTGGAATAAAGGAGGTGACATCAGGGACATAAAGGACAAACAACAAAAGATTGCACTACCAAAGACAGAAACAATCAATTACAACCAATTACAAAACAAACAAAAAGAAAACTGCAAGCAAAAAAATGTTCTGATGTTTGAAATCTATGGTATTAAATAATTTAAAAGCTTTTCTGTCCCTTTTCCCCCATATGCTCAAATTCTGAAACAAAATACAGTTTAAAAAAAGTGAAACGAGATTAGGTATTTATTTATTTATTCATTCACGTAATAATCATTGTCTAATTGTCATCATTTACATTGATATTTACACTGAATATAACCACAGCAAATGCAAATAGTGAAAAACAGACTATAGACGGCTGGGGCGTCACACATGAAGTACATGGACTGCCAGGAAAAAAGTCATATTTCACCTCTTGCTTTCACAGATGAGAAATTTCCAGGAGTGCAAGTAACAACAACAACAACAACAACAACAATAATAATAATAATAATAATAATGCATCAGATTTGATATAGGCCTTTATCAGTGATCCCCAAAGCACTTGACATCATTCATTCGCTCACAAAGGGAAACATGGTGGCCAATCTGTGCCTACAGCCTCACTGACCACCACCAAACGTCACTCTTCAATCATACACCAGTGGAGGACACACACAGGGAGCAGGGTGGGTTAAGGGTTTTGCCCAATGACGCGACTGACAGACCAGGGATAGGGGGGAATGAAACTGCCAACTTTACAGTTGTTGGATGACCGCTCTACCTCTTAAGCTTCTGCCAACTCTGAAATGTTTATTCATACTGTTTACATGTCTTGAGTTGTCTTCATTCTTGAGTTTTTTTTTTCTAAGTGTACATGACGTATATCACACTTTTAGAGACAACTTGGCACCATGAGACAAAAACAAACTATTTGGGCCCAGAAAAACAACTTCATAACGTCAGTGTTTGTCTGTGGTCTCTGGCTGATAGCATGAGAAGGATCCATGCAGCCTACTCACACACCAAACAAGGAGCGCTACAGATGCCACATTTGTAAAGTTTAGCAATTTTGAGGCTTTTGGTGTTTTCGACAACACGGCAGTGAAAGGTCAGAAACGGGAGAAAAAACAACAGTGCGATGTGGATGTGACAAGATGTGTGGGGTAGACTTTATTCTGGAGGGGCCAGATGAAGGGAAATGAGGTGGTTAAACCATACAAAATCATAACAAAGGGGGAAGTGGTTTTCAGTGTGGTCACTGGGTCATTGCACGACAATTTCCTTTTACTGGAAAACAAGGGGGTCACAGCTTTACACTGAAATATTCTCTGTGTGAGGTGCCCAGACCGCCTGGGCTGCATTTTTCACAGGGGTCAAATGTTACAACACTAACTGATCATTAGGATGATTTCCCAACTATCTTCATCATATTTCCTCTGAAAGAGGAACATGACACCAGATCACATCACTCTTACATCCTAGCTGAGTTTATCTGTGTCTTTCGGGGGCTGTCTGAAATATTCATGGGTTTGTTAGAGTTTAGATTTAATTGGAGGTGTTGCAGCAGGAGTGAAGTGGGTGGCAATAAATGTTTAAAGCAGAACGCTGCACTTAATTAAACAAGGAGGTCAGCATCTTGCAACGTTTAAGGTCTCAGAGTTTTTCACTTTAACATTATCCAGGTGTGTCCTTACTTCACTCTATCAGGGCATTCATCATTGTTGCACGTCAGTGACACTATGTGGAGGTCACCAGGGCGCTACCTAATACTACACACCCCACACACACACACACAAACTGCTTTCATCCTCTCATCAATTAGATGTGAGACAGTGAAGGTGTAAAACTGCAGCACAGAAACAAATCTGGTGGTTAGACACACTTTTTTTTTGTCAATGGAAAACTACAAAGAATCAAAAAGTTTGGATGGTTGATGCTGGCACTTGTTGTGGTGGTAAAGCAGGCTGCACAATAACCAGGGACACTCCCCTCTATGTTTGAACAACATGTAATTACAGATCAGGATAGGAGAGCCCATTCTTTGGGGAAAATAGCAATTTCTCCTAATTACAAGGCAGGCCATGATCCATACCTATCCGTCACTTCAAATAACTTGCTGTTGAAGAGACTGGTTATATTATTCTTGTTCAGGTAGAGATAAACAACACAAGCGGCGCTAAAAAAAGCTGTCAGCTGAATTTAAATCTACGGACTCCTGACAAAAAATTCAGCAGGAAAATAAATATTTTCACAAGCAGATTTTTAAGGTTTTGAAGTTGCTAAATTTTAAACTATGACAAGAATCAGGAAACTTGATTGTTTGTAGAGAAAATAAATCAGCAGAAAACGGAGAAACCACATCCGCCAACTCCTGTTCTGCATGTTTTTCCATTCTTATAAACCATACACAGATCCCTGTGGACGTTATTATGCGCTCTTGAATGACAAGTGTTGAGATGGACTTTTGTGCAACAGTTGAGCGAGTGCCAGTGTGTGTGTCCAGCTGTGATGTTCACAACGCACACACACACACACACACACACACACACACACACACACACACACACACACACACACACACACACACACACACACACACACACACACACAAGCAGGCCTCAGTCTGCAGTCTTCAGAGTCAGCACACAGCAATGGTGAAGGTTTCTCTCTCCCTCTGGCCAGATGAGCATTCTAGTTATCTTCCCCACACAAACAAGATAAGCTCATTTTCTTCAGTCCTTGCCAGGGCCCAGGGGTTACAGGGTTCTTTCCTTCTATCAGTCTTTTCTCTTCTTCTCTGACCCTTTTCCTCCTTGTTTTTCTCCAACTTCTGTTTTCTGCTAGATCCAAGAACCAGTCAAATCTTCTCACTCATTACAAAAAAAAAGTATCATCCAGTAACTCTTAAGTAATTTTACACTGAGAAAATAATTCATGATTAAACTTAATTTGAGTGTGGAAAATCACTACTTTCCGAAGAATGACAGTCATTTTAGCCGTGGTTGTAACTGAAGCATTGAGACAAGAAAAAACAACCACACATCAACAAAAACACATCACAGGAGAGAAAATATTTGTGGGGAAATTGCTTGAGAAGGACCTTGCAACTGTGCCATTTGGCTGCCCCAAACCATTGTCTGCAGAGACTTGCCATGGAGGCTGGCAGCAGTTGTTTGTGTCTGCTGTGCCATCCTTCAACCCAAGACTGTCAATTTTATTTTCATGCTTCACTGACACAGATGGGAAGCTGTCCAGAAATGCCTCAACTGAACAACAATGTATATACATGTGCGAGAGGGTGTGTGTTCTCCTTTTTGTGCGCTTGTGTGTGCATTTAAATATAATGGCCGTGATGCCAGTCTGGCACGGACACGATAACAACATGCTCTCTGTGCAAACCCATGCAGAACACAAACATAAACAAACAATCATGCATACACAAATATACATGACGGCACACGTGCAGATTTGCACACATTCAAACATGAACACAAGCCCACACACACATGAAACCTGCACACACACATTCGTGTTCATGGAGTCCCTGCTAATGATGGGTGGCAGTATGATGTTTGTGTGTGTTCCAACAGAATTGGCATTAGTTCTTGGGCCAAATCAGCTGCCAACAGCAGCAGGCTATTAACAAAACTGTTTCTTTGTTTGCTTTTTTCTCCTTTTTTTTTTTTTTTTTTTTTTTTTTTGTCCTTCTTGAGAGGCGCCAAGCAATTAATGGTCTGCCTATGGGAGAGCGGTAAACTGTGCCACTGTGCCATATGCACATACGCGCGGTGATGCAAGACATGCCAGAGAAGAATAGATGATGTTATGACTGGACAGCATTCATAAATCTGATCTCTGTTATACAAGAAAAGTTCATGCTCTCATGTCAAAGAGGGCTAAAAGCATTTTTTTACCACCTGGCAAGTCTTAGACAGTCTAAAGCCTCCAGGAGAGAGCGAGGAGGAGAAACTGTGGTTTTTGTGTGTGCGGACGATTGTGTCTGTTCGTGTGTGTAAGGGGGTAGGATTACCATGTTGAATGAGTCCTCTTGAATTTGTAGTAAAAAAAAAAAAAGAAACTTGGAGCTGATAGTTGTTACTTCTTTCTCAGCCAGGTCTTTCTAGGAAAAGTATAATTTTTTATCCTGGTGGTGCAGCATTCGGTTTTCATGAAGGTCAAATAAAATAAACAAAGAGGGAAAGCGCGAGGGGAAACGAGGCACTTCACATGACTTGGGGTGGTAAAACTGCTGCATTCAAACGTAAACAACTTCTGTTGGACAGCTTTTATCTGCTGTTATATTGTACCACTTAAACAAAGCTGATAAGAGGTAAAGATATCACCACAGGGAAGTTCTGAACAGTATTGACATTTATCTCTCTAAATCTATCAAAGTTATCAACCAATCTTCTCAAAACTTCTTCCACAGCAATGATATCAGCTGCCATAAGTTACTTTTGTTTCTTTTATAAAGTTTTAAGATTGATTTTGTCACTGCATTGGACTTGAGTCAGTCTTTATTCAGTTACAAGCTCTGATAGTACACATCCCTTTGACCTGTAAGTCAAGCTAGGACTTCGAATTCAATCTTAAATCTCAGAGGGATGTTTGGCACGTACAATTCTTTTTTATCCTGATGATTGTGTAATGATTGTGCAATGTATCCAATTTTTGTACATAGCTTTCCCTCTATACACCCATCCATGCATTAGCAAAGCACCAAGGGCGTGCAGCCAGAGGCCCCATTGGACACCAGTCCATGGTTCAATATTTACTTAATCTAATAGTTCAAAAATCACTTCCACTCGCTTTCATGCTAAGAAAAGCAAAGAGAGATAAGTGGGGCAAGTGTGCAAAGAGGATGGGCCCAATTAATGATCAGCCAGGTGATGCTGAAAAAGAGGATATTGCTGTATTATTACAGAGCCATAAAAGTGACAAAGAGTCAGATAATGATGTGGATTTACAGCCCTGTGGTGGTTCTGAGTACACAAGACTATGTGACCATTAGATGAGTCCTGCAGGCCTGAGACAAACTTAATTTGAGCATTAGTGAAGATATGCTCATGCTGTGTTCGGGAAAACCAAGACCAGGTTATATTAACTCCTAAGTGTATGTTTTGTGACATTTCAATATGCCTTTAAGTCATCAAAAACCAATATGATTTTTAATGCTGATAAGTACCATGTGTCTCCAATAAGACGCATACACTTTGCATTTTAATAAAGGACTGCTCGGATATTTAGTCACTCCAGGGAGCCAAAGCTGGCTGGTAGTCTGCTCATTGAATGTGTGAGAGCTGAGGCTTTAGCGCTTACAGTCAACTGCCTTTACTACAAGAGAGTCATAAAGCAAGAAATAAAAAGGAACAAAACACCCCAAAATTGCCTTTGTTTTATTGTCAATTAGCACAGAACATCATCAGCGATTTCCTGTTACTCACTGCGTTCACGAACTCTCAGGGCTTTTGATGACCTTTCGAGATGAGGTAACAGCAGCGGTTTTACCTCAAGTGCACATTTCTGGGCTGGAAAATTAGCTGCAAATCCACATTTGGCTCCCCCTACATGTTTGGCTAATTCATATGTGCAGTGCATGCATGTCCTTAAATGCACGTCTGTGCTTATGTGTTCATTTCA